ACTAATCTAATTGCCTTTTATGATGAGATTACTGGTTCTGTGGATGAAGGGAAAGCAGTGGATGTATTGTTTCTTGACTTTAGCAAAGCTTTTGACACGGTCTCCCACAGTATTCTTGTCAGCAAGTTAAGGAAGTATGGGCTGGATGAATGCACTATAAGGTGGGTAGAAAGCTGGCTAGATTGTCGGGCTCATCGGGTAGTGATCAATGGCTCCATGTCTAGTTGGCAGCCGGTATCAAGTGGAGTGCCCCAAGGGTCGGTCCTGGGGCCGGTTTTCTTCAATATCTTCATAAATGATCTGGAGGATGGTGTGGATTGCACTCTCAGCAAATTTGCTGATGATACTAAACTGGGAGGAGTGGTAGATACGCTGGAGGGGAGGGATAGGATACAGAGGGACCTAGACAAATTGGAGGATTGGGCCAAAAGAAATCTGATGAGGTTCAATAAGGATAAGTGCAGGGTCCTGCACTTAGGACGGAAGAACCCAATGCACAGCTGCAGACTAGGGACCGAATGGCTAGGCAGCAGTTCTGCGGAAAAGGACCTAGGGGTGACAGTGGACGAGAAGCTGGATATGAGTCAGCAGTGTGCCCTTGTTGCCAAGAAGGCCAATGGCATCTTGGGATGTATAAGTAGGGGCATAGCGAGCAGATCGAGGGACGTGATCGTTCCCCTCTATTCGACATTGGTGAGGCCTCATCTGGAGTACTGTGTCCAGTTTTGGGCCCCACACTACAGGAAGGATGTGGATAGATTGGAGAGAGTCCAGCGAAGGGCAACAAAAATGATTAGGGGTCTGGAACACATGAGTTATGAGGAGAGGCTGAGGGAGCTGGGATTGTTTAGCCTGCAGAAGAGAAGAATGAGGGGGGATTTGATAGCTGCTTTCAACTACCTGAAAGGGGGTTCCAAAGAGGATGGCTCTAGACTGTTCTCAATGGTAGCAGATGACAGAACGAGGAGTAATGGTCTCAAGTTGCAGTGGGAGAGGTTTAGATTGGATATTAGGAAAAACTTTTTCACTAAGAGGGTGGTGAAACACTGGAATGCGTTACCTAGGGAGGTGGTAGAATCTCCTTCCTTAGAGGTTTTTAAGGTCAGGCTTGACAAAGCCCTGGCTGGGATGATTTAACTGGGAATTGGTGCTGCTTCGAGCAGGGGGTTGGACTAGATGACCTTCTGGGGTCCCTTCCAACCCTGATATTCTATGATTCTATGATCTTCAGAGGAGAGGGAGGGTGGGTTGTGGAATATAGGCCTGCACCTACACTTTGAAGAAGAACAGTTACAATACGGGTAAGCAACCCTCTTTTCTTCTTCGAGTGGATGCAGATATGCATTCTGCTCAGGTGACTCACAAGCAGTACTCTCAGGTGGTGGGAGTCAGAGTCCAATTAAACAATGACTGCAGAACTGCCTTCCCAAAGTTTGCATCCAACCTAGATGCCATGGTATATGCAAAATGTTTAGCAAAAGTATGTATTGGAAGACCATGTAGCAGCCCTACAGATGACCAATATTGAAACATCACTAAGGCTATATCTACACTACCACGGTAAATCAACTTACGCCACGCAACTCCAGCTATGTGAATAACGTAGCTGGAGTCAACATACCTTATGTCGAGTTACTGCAGGGTCTACACCATGGGGGTTGATGGAAGAAAATCTCCTGTCAACTTACCTTACTCTTCTCATTGGGCGTGGAGTACAGGGATCGACTGGAGAGTGATTTACATTCGATTTGGCGGGTCTTTCTTAGACCCACGGCTAAATTGACCGCCGATGGATTGATCTCAAAGCGTCGATCCCTGCTGTAGTGTAGACCTGCCCTAAGAAATGGAATGGATGTTGCTTGGGCTCTTGTGGAATGAGCCTAAAGTGACTGTGGGAATGTAGCCTGAGCTACTTCAAAAGCTGTGATAATGCAGGAAGTTATCCACTGGGAAATTGTCTTTGTGGAGAATGGTCATTCATTCAATCCACACAGGAGACAAAAAGCCAAGGTGATGAACAAAATGGTTTAGTCCTTTCCAGATAGAACACCAAGCACTGCTTCACATCTAACGTATGCCGCTCATCTGGATATGAGTGAAATTTATGGAAGAATATAGACCCCATCATTATTGCAGAAGGCTGTGTGGGGACCAAGACATCTTTACAGTCAGCTCTGGATGCAGCGTATGCTTCATCCAGACTTATGGCATACTGAAATGAAGCTGGTACCAGACTACCAGATGTAGACTGCACTGGAATTGTCATTAGTACTGAAAATAGCATCTGTACGGGCAGTCTCCTCAGTATCAAACTGGAAGCTGACTGAAACCCAGGGCCCTGGGTATGAGGTAGTGTAGATGATAGTGCTGACACTGATAAGTCGGGCACCAGTGCTGGGGGTGCCAACAACGCCGAAGGCAAGACCATCATAGTCGAATGCTCTTGAATGAGTAGTGAGTCAGGAACAGGCAGGCCCAGCTAGTCCACTGCTTCCTGATACATTGGCAGTGTGACAGGTTTCAGAATGGTAGCCGTGTTAGTCTGTATCAGCAAAAAGAACGAGGAGTACTTGTGGCACTTTAGAGACTAACAAATTTATTTTGGCATAAGCCACGAAAGCTTATGCTCAAATAAATTTGTTAGTTTCTAAGGTGCCACAAGTACTCCTTGTTCTATTGGCAGTGTGGAGACTGTTGGTGCTGACATCGCTGTCATCAGTACCGGACTCAATGGACAACTTTGGGGCAGTACTGGAGTTGATGGTACAGAGTCGGTTGACGACCTGGCTATTTCCCACTTACTGGGAGACTCATATGCCAGTCTGCATTCCTCCTAGATGGGGAGGAAGAAGAATCTCTTCGGATGCTGGAGCAGCCTCAGGTTCATTTTGTGGGTTCTTTTCTTTGAGGAACCAGAGAAAGGGGAATGATCCCTCTTCCTCCTGGGTGAATGAGTCCAGACATGGAACCCCAAGTCCATACTGGCTCAGGAGCTCTCTGAGGGAACCTGAGGATCTGTGGAAGTCCCTGGAGCTGAAGTGGGCCTCAGGGCCTGCTCCATGAGGTGCTTCTTCAAACACAAGTCCCTTGCCACCTGTGATCTCTTCTTAAAGGACTTGCAAATAGAACACCTTTCCTTAATGTGCTCTTCCCCAAGGCACAGTAAACATCGAGTGTGGGTCATTAGTAGATATAGCAATCCCACAAAGTGGAAAAAGTTTGAAACCCAGAGAAGGCATTACCCCAGACTAAACTCTAATACCTACATGACAGTAAGCTAACATTTAAGGTACTACTAAATGAACTATTTACAGAAACCCCCCCACTGAAACACTGTGATAATGAATGTGAGGTAAACACCACACTAAATGCTCTGATTCAAGCTGCAGGTGGTGAGAAGAAACTGAGGTGGGCTAGGGCAGCACCACCCTTATATAGCCACAGAGGGGTTTCTAGGGCCAGAGAGTAAAAGTGCTGTCCTGACAGGTATTGCTAAGCAGAGTTCTCTGGCTTCAGTGTACTTGGCACGTGCACATTTGGGTGGACTACGTATCTGCAACCACTCAAAGAACTAGTAGGTCTTCTAAACGTGAATGTAACATATTTCTGTCCACAAAAAATGTGAAGACCTTCTCCTTTTGTCTTCTTGTCCATTTCAGAAGAAACTAGAATTTTAAAGGACAGAGTAAGTTCTCTACTGACAGAGCACTCATTATGTTGTCCAGAATCAGTATGAAGCTGGTTGTCTAGGTCCCTCCTTAATTACAAGGCAAGTAAATCAAGAATGACACTGACTTAAACATTTAAACTTGAAATTCACTCTTACTGATTCTTGTCAGAATCCTGGCAATCTGATGTTATGATTTTATCAATAATTACACATGTTTAGCTTTAATTTTATGAGTAGGCTTAGTGAATTCAGAGGGACTACTCGCATGTGTATCTGTCTGCAGGACCAGAGCCCAGGACTGGAGTTGGATATGGAAACTTAAGGCATATACTGAAGCTTATTTTTTCCTAGAAATAATCTAATTACTACTAATAATCAATGTTTAATAATACTGCCTTCCGTATGATCTTCCATCCCCAAATCCACTTTCTGCAGCATCTGGGTTTCTTTTGCAGATCTTCCATCAAAATATCGATCCCCTGCTTAACTTTGCATTGCTCATTAAGTCTGATAAAATCACAAGCTAACGCTCCATGTTTGCACATTATTAAAGGTAATGGCTACAGCTGGATTAAGACACGCTTACACAGCCAGTTTCCTTTTCTTTTTCAAAGTATGTAATGAATGGACAAATTTAGGCCTCTATGGCTTTAAATTTATCACTGTCCTTGAAAGAAATTCAAATGCTTTTATACATCTATACCTACAATATATACTGTGTAACTTTGCAATTTTTCCTTCGTTCTTTCCTTCATCTTAATTAACAGCTATTCCTTGGCACCGGTGCCACAGTTGAGTGAGTCCCACAGTGAGCAGCCGTTGGCAGAGTATGCCAATACCTAAGCCTTCCCACTGGAGATTTTTTTAACCACACGCTTAAGCATGACCTTCGTTGAAAATGACAGAAACCTGTGGGACCTCTTTCAGACCAATAACCATGGAGTCTAGAGAGGGTAAAATGTTATATTAAATTACATGATGCTCCCTTGAAGTATAGTCTGTCCCAGTTCTATTCCCCTGATCCTTTCAAATGATTGTAACACTTCCCATGTGCATACCTAAAAGTAAGTTTAATTTATGACCCGTGTTGCATTTTAAATGTTTAATTAAGTTAGTGGTTAGAGCTGACTCATAAACCCATAAAAACGGAAAGTGGTAAAGTAATTATTCACTCCACCTGCCCTCCAAATAATTAGCACCATTCATTACCAACAATCAGCAGTAATGGTGCTAAAAGTTAGCTATCCAAGCAGTTATAAAAATAAGGGCATACCTTGCAAGCAAAGCTGGGGGAAAATCAACAAAAATCTTTTGCAAAAGAAGAACTTACATATTTCCTTTGCCATCATACACCCATGTGGTGCTGCCAATTCCTTCAAAGTCTGAGGCCCAGTAATAAATACATGCATTAATGTGCAAGATAAACAGCAGGTATCCAGTTGTTCGAATGACTCTGTAAAGGACAACATATTGCAAATCACAGCTGATATAATTCCAGGAAAACAGCTTGTTTTTATTTTCCCTTTAATATGGAACTCCCTGATTTTGATCAATAGCTGTATTAATGCCGGCTATTACTTGTCACAGTACAGTATTACTTGACTGGTATTTGCCAGCTGTTTTTCCAATGTGCCATCTCCTGCCTCTGCCTTCCTCCAAAGGCCAAATGAATCACCTTTATAGAATAGTTGATACAGGGTCATTCCTAAATTATGTTTCTCTTAGGACATTGGTTTAACTGGTTATAAATGTTTATAGAAAGGTGAAACTGTATTAATGGGATTGTAGGGTATGAATCAATGTATTTGCTAGACTCTGCTGAAGACAGGCTCAGGGCTGGAGCGGTAGGTGTTTCAGGTCAGAAATTATGTGTATTGACAGCTACACAAGGAAGCTTGCAAAATGCCTGTTCCTGCCGGTACTTTTGGTTCCTCAGTCTCTTGAGCACGTAATTCACCCAATTCTTTAAAAAGGGAAATATGCTGCCCTCACTGAGCAGGCAACACAATTTTGATTTGAGTATTGTCTTTTATATAAACTATATCCTAAGTCCTTCAGCAAAGAGGGTAATGTAGTTTAGTCGCTACCTCAGGAGATGTCAGTTCTAATTCTAGTTCTCACACTCAGTATGTGACCCTGGGCAAGTTTACTTACTTTCTCTGTGCCTCAATTTCTCTATCTGGAAAATGGGGATAAATTTATCCTACCTCTCTCACAGGAGACTTATGAGGTATAATCAATTAACGTTTGTGAAGCGTCTGTATGGATGGCACCATGTAAGTGTTGAAGATTATTATACAATACACCTCATATAGTTTATAAATATGGTTACAGAGTTAAAATCATAAATCCTAAAGAGGAAGAAATTAAAAAGTATAGGCAAGGCGAGAGAGAATATATTTTCAGATGAGACTAGAAATGAGATGAGATGTAGAGTCGATACAGAGAGCTGTAGCAAGATTGTTCCATCTGGTAGGCGCTGCACGGGAGAATGCCCTTGCACTAACAGAACAGAGAGGAATCTGGCATTAAATGAGTGAAGCGGGTGGGGAGGAGGGAAGGACAACGTCTGTGAAATTAGCTACAGCAATTTCTTAAAAGGTTTCCGGTAAGGAAGGTAATTTTAACTGGATTTTGAAATGCATGGGCGTCATGCACACTGATCAAGTGCAGTGAATTTCAAATGGTATCTATATACCATGATGATAAGCACCTAAGAAATACTTAAGATTAAGATAAAAACATAAGATGAAGTTCCAAAACATCAATTTCTGTTTTGCTTAGCAGATATTAGGTTGTATTACATAGATAATATTCTCCCTTCCTTTTGAATGTAACTTCTGTGCCTAAATCTCATAAAATATCTGGTTTGTAATGCAAGAATCCCAAGTCTATCATTTAAATGTCATTGTCTGAAATATAACAAAGTGTCATGGAAGGGATTCTTGCTCCCATTGCGGCAGCATACAAGAACCATATAATCCCAGAGCTATATAATCCCATATAATCCCATATATAATCCCATATATAATCCCATATAATCCCAGAGCTGCGTGGAGGAGAATTTTCCAGGTGCAGGCATTACATACAGCAACCTATGCTGCTCTACAAGCCACCCGCCACAAAACTTGGTATAAGGCAAATGGCACTGCACAGCTGCAGGCGAGGGGATGGGGCTGATTAAGTTGGAAGCAGCATTATGGGCATTCTTAGCAACCTGGTAGCCCACAGGGTAGTGCTGTTACTTAGGAGCTGTTTTGGTTCCTAGAGCAGCCTGTAATAAAGAAGGCACAAAAGTCATGTAAAGTCACCCATGCTTTCACTATCCAAGGTCTGTGCTGCATTGACTCTCACCCCATGTTCAGCTAAGACAGTGATTGGGGGAAGATTCTGTACATAGCAAAGGCAAGGTGAAAACAGTGCATAAAGAAAAACATTCAAACAACCTTGGTATCATGACTGCTGCAATGTGCCAGCAAACTACCACACAGAATCTCACTTCAGCCATAAGCAAAGGAAGTCTCCAGTAATGATCCCATTAAATAAACCCCTTATGGGTCTTCAGATTCTGTCTGGTATGGTGACATGTGCCCCTGATCCTGTAAACATTTACGAATGAGAGTAACTTTACTCACATATGTAATCAAACTAAACAGAATGGGATTACTTGTGTGAATAAAATTACCCATGTACATTAGTGTTTGTATAATGAAGAGAGACAGTTAAAAAATAACCAAGAGGAGTTGTTTGGGGTTTAACATATTCAACACTGTGCTTGACTGACAACCTGGGAGACAGAATGCAACCCCCACAACCTAAAAGGCTTTGTTTGGATTGGTGGGGAAAAAGGGTAATGGCTCCTTTAAGGTCCCCCCACCCTTGGGGTTGGGAGTTGGGGTGACCAGTAGTGGAGAAAAGGCATCATCTGAGCCAGTGGACGGGCTGGTGGGGCTCAAATAAGCCATTAACCCCTGCACACCTTGGGGAGGGTACCCTGTCCCTCCACCCTGAACTCCCTTTCATGCCTGGATTAACAGCTCTTCTCTTCCCTTTTTGGTTTGTTGTAGGCATTGCATTAGTTGCCTTTTTTGGGACTTGGAAAATTCATGCCTGGCATCTTGTCTTTCTTACCGCATGTTCAGGACAGTGATTGAAATTCTGTGCCAAACTTTGCATACTGTAAGTCTACCGCCCACGTACCTGTAGATGTATGCTTTATCCAGGATAGCTTCTAACCGGTCATTGAACTCAAAGAAGGTCATATGCTAGACAGAAACCAAACGAAAGCAATCGAACCATGGTCCTTATAATATATATTTTTCTAATGGGACTGACATTAGTTCACATACATATTTTGAAAATAATGTATTTTTCACTTGTCTAACATCCCTTAAACATCTAGTTTAAAGGCGAACTGCAAAGCTAAGATGAAAATTGAGCTCAGCATAGATTTTGGTGTTGTTTGTCCCTATTAGCTACGTTATGGATGACATCTTGTCATTAGGGGAGTCATTTCAGTAAAATCTGGAGCTGGGCAAAGTTATATCAGCATATAGAACATTACAGGATATAATATAATCACATATAAAGTTGGGGGAGGGAAAAAGTGGCTCATACAGACCTATGAAAAGTCTGGGGGTGGGGGCAAACCAACATATGGGAGGGGCAACTGCCCCCTTTGTCCCATAGCAAATGATGTGCCTGCTTGCCATTTACTGTGATGACTGATGTTGATGATGAATGACTTTTTACTCAGTGAAAAATGTACTTGCTTAGGCTAAACGTAATTTTGCCAAAGTAAATTAATCATTAAAAAAAACCCTCTCCCCTCATCTTGAAATCCCTGTCACTTCCTAGTTAGCTGAGGGTATCCCAGACTGTAACATCAAAACATGAGGTCTCATGAGGAATTTTTAAAGGTTAGTTAATCTACTCCTGGGTTGAATTCCTCCCACATTAACTATTTTTACTTTAGTTTTGCTATACACCTTTAACATTAACAGGCACTTTTGCTGTTTTCTGTCTAGCACAAATTTACTTGCCTGATATTATATAGTGTTTTGCTTTACATTCTTCTTTACCATTTTGATTCTGTGTTGCCAGTCAGGACATTAAAAATCAATCAAACCAATAAGAAAAGGAGTACTTGTGGCACCTTAGAGACTAACCAATTTATTTGAGCATAAGCTTTCGTGAGCTACAGCTCACTTCATCGGATGCATACTTTGGAAAGAGTAGATCTTTTTATATACACACAAAGCATGAAAAAATACCTCCTCCCACCCCACTCTCCTGCTGCTAATAGCTTATCATGAAAGCTCATGCTCAAATAAATTGGTTAGTCTCTAAGGTGCCACAAGTACTCCTTTTCTTTTTGCGAATACAGACTAACACGGCTGTTACTCTGAAACCAATCAAACCAATGACACCCATTCTTACCGGCCCAAATTTCTTAGTCAGCATAAGGCTGCTAAATATGATAAGGGAAGTTTTTTCTTTAGGTAAACCTTTGACATGAGTTTGCATACAGAATAGACTTCCAGAAGGGTTTTGCCACTATAACAGATGCCATTCCCATTGTGCAGTGCTTAGATAACGTGGTGATAAGTGCTTTGTACATGTAACAAAGAGAGAGATTTTGACATTGACTAATTCAGCAGGGAGTTTTTCAAGGGCAGGAATAGTAAAATGCCAGGGCCAAAGGGTGGCATTCAGCCACTAGCCTGAGTTGGGGTGGGAGGTGGGCGGGTATGTGGAGCTCCACTGCCCTATTGGCTGCTCAAAAATAATTGGGCTGATGCAGGGAGGCTGTGCAGGCTGCACCTTCCCATGATCCAGCTGATGTGTTCTGCAAGGTGATGTAGAGATGGGGCAGAGTTATAATCTGTCTTTTTCCCACCCCCTCCATACTGGTCGCCATACACTTCTTGCACTTGATAAGAAAAATATGCTTATGTTTATTAAATGGGCAGTGTAAGATATATGTTGTCCTTAACCATCCCTTGCTTTTAAGTGGTTGAATTTTGTAAGTGATGTGATAGGTAAGCAGTAAGTACATGATTCTCATTTAGCAATCTTAACTGGTTATTTTTTGGCAAATTAAATAGGGTATTTAAAACTATTTCAGTGTAAACTAGTAGAAACAAACTAGTCTAGATTACAGCAGACTAGTTTACAAGTCAGAAAGTAAATATAAGTAAAATCAGCTGAAAAATAACCAGAAACATTATTCCTATTATTAAAATGACATATTTTACTTATTTATTTGGTGGTAGTTTGAGTCTGTAGCTTAGATTCTTAGAAAGAGGAAGCATTCACAAAATCAGAAACTAAAGACTCCCAAATATTTGTACTAAATCTTCAATAGGTGTTAAACTTTTCATATTTTCCAGTGGACAAGCAGTCATAATAAATTGTCTGGTCTTACCTTTAACACCTTGTTTGCTCTAAACACTGGGTTAAACCCAAAGATGAAGTATAAAACATCAAATGGTATTATTGATGCCACATCAAGCTGTTGAAGAGCACAGTTCAATTAAGACTTGACAATGACTATAACTTGTTTACATTCTGTAGTGAACATGGCTAGATTTAATAATCATTGCACATGAAAGCTGAACAGTCAGCATGCAGTGGCCATCTATCTCTGAGTAACTGACAAGCAACACCATCTCTAGGAAAATGCCAGGAGCTTTCTTCTGCCCTTACTTATGCTCCATACGTCTCAGATTTTCATATAGTTACTGAGGATTATTAACAATGTCTTGGATATTTAACTGTAGCATTGCTGTTAATAATTAAATGATGTGGGCTCAGTTATGGTGCCGATGAACCTGAAATGCTGAGGGCTTAGGAGAGGGGGGTGATGGTTCACCTCACAATCATTTCTGAGAAGTATTATGATTTTCAAAGCCATAATACCTCCAGGGACCTGTGGGGAGCATAAGGAAGGACACTCCCTGCTATAACTATACAACAGATGTAGGCACCGCTTCCTCCAAGACAACCATTCTCTTCTATCCCATTCAGGGTCTTTTATTGCCCACATTATCATAGATTCTGTGTGCCTTCTAGCAGTGCATTAAGTGTATTTTTCACATGCGGTTCCCTCTTTCTTCCTGATTTTTTCCAAGTGGAAACTCTGGGGCGATAAAGGAAGCTGTACCAACCAGGTGCTGTGTCTTAAAAGGAGCTGCTCCTGGAAGTGGCTCCTGGCTCAGACCCTACTCTGTTGCTGCTTTGGTGAGGGAGCAAAAGGGGCTCATGGAAGTCAGAACCCTGCCTTCAACCTCCGCCAAAATGCTTCCACCCCGAGAAATGCCTTTAGCCACTAGCTATTGATTCCACCCTTTTTCTCCCCAGTGCTGAGAGATGGATTGTACCTGACTCCTGAAAAAAAAGTATTGACTGGGGAAGGAGTGTCCCCTGGCCACTCGCTCCTCTAATGCACCCACGCAAGGAAAGGCAAAATTTAGCCCCATACATTTTAATATGCAGTGACAGTTAGTATTTCATTAACTGATAAATTCCAAAATGTTGTGTAGCCCAAGCCTGGGAGCTGAAGAGAATCATCAACTCCCACTAACTTCAGTAAAAATCAAGGGCACTCATAACCTTGCAGGATTGAACCTAAGACACAGGCCCAGTATACCTACTCCATCACTTTGCTTTCAGGTTGAATCCCTTCCCTGCTCCATTGTCTGTATTTGCTCTGTTTGGGCTCTGATCCTGCAAACACTTCTGTGCTGCTTAACTTGAGACATTCAAGCCCTGCCACTGGAATTAATGAGACTTCTTGTGTGTTTAAACTGGAGCATGTACAAAAGTGTTTGCAGGAGCAGGGTCTTAGGTTGTAATTTCAGAGGTGCTTGGGAATCTGTGGCTCAGTAATTTCAATACAGTGTCTTTTCACTCTTGCTGAGAAAATTACATTTCAGAATAAAATGCAATAACTGTCCTAAAATAAAATGGGTCCTTGATTTTATCTAAGGCACTGAGCTTTAAAAGTTAAAAGGAGTTTTAGATTTACTTGCGTGGAGCCAAGGTGATATCTACTATTTATGATCATGTGTTACTATCACAAGTACATACTAGTGTTTCTTATTTAAAGTTACCATTTGATTTTAAGCTGGGCACAGGCTTCTTTCTTTAACAAATCTCTACTGAGCCAGAGTTTTGGAATCTAATGCATTCACAGAGTTATCTCCCATTGCAGTCAATGGGAGTCATACAGCCAAAGGCAATATTTTTATTAATGAATAAACAATATTTATGAGCATGGCATTTGATTTAATTGGTGAGAAGCTAAAATGACAGTCAGTCAGGGACCCTTCAGTATGATCTCTCTGTCTACATGGAATATTGGAGCATGGAAAGCTTTGTGGAGTTCCAAGGCTAAAATTTAAAGCATTGAAACAACTCTAATGTAGCACACAACCTACTCACCCGAAACCTCAGAGAATTCTGGTAGTATTTCTTCATTTCTACTTTGTCTGACTAAAATTATAAAGAAAGGGGAAAAAAGCATAGTTAAGAAAAATCAGCCAAAACCCTGTCCCTGATAATATTCAGGCCAGGGTTTGACCCTGCACCCATTAAAGTCAGTGGCAAAGCTCAGTGGTTCAGAGCATATACAGGGACTACTTCTGAGTATCTCTGAGAGGGATCGGGCCTTTGAAAGCTAAATAAATGCATTTAGCATTAGCATTATAACAATCAACACTGAATTCATTAATAATGATTAGCCATTTATTTTCAAATTGCTCACCATGGGAACTGACGGTAATACCTTATTAGGAAAGGCTAATCAGAAGTCTCTAAAGGACTGCATCTATTATTATACTTACTGTATTTATATCAGAGGTGTTTTTTAAAATAACTTTAAAATCTTAAGGGTTTTTTCCATACCAAGGCAGACCTATTTTCTACCTTCCCTTATTATCACTTTACAGCTTTCAGAGAATTGCAGGAGTTCAGACTAGATGATCATAAATGATCCCTTCTGGCTTTAAAATCTATGAATTGTACAAACAGCTTCAAGTAAAAGAAAAGTGGTCTTCCTTATGCTACAATTTTAACCTTATTCACAACACTCAAGTTTATTGGGATTTAAGAAGGGTTGTCAATGACTAACTTGGCATGGAAAAGTCTATTTCTTTGCACTACAATAAATATAGACACACATTATGTCTATTTGAGACCTGAAAATAGGGTTTAAGTAATAGCCTATAGCACAGAAGGTGCAGTGTAATATACAAAAACACTGAGTTAAAGCTGGTTCCAAGTTACAGGTGGAAATACCAGTCAGAGGGTATGTCTACATTGCAAATGGAAGTGTGATTGCAACTCGTGTGGGTACACATGAGCTAGCTTTAATTTCGTGTGGCTAAAAATAACAGTGATGATGAGACAGCATGGGCTGTACAAACCAATATACACCCCTCACTATGTACTCGTGTTCCTAGTCTGTGCTGGGGTCTGTGCCATTGTGTCTTTTCTGCTATTTTTAGCTGCACTAGCTAGATTAAAACTAACTTGTGGATGTCTATCCAAGATGCAATTACGTCTCCAATTGCAATTTAGACATATTCTTGGTTTTGAATTTTCATGTTGCTGTGCACTTGAATCTAAGCTCATTTTTGCATGTTAATTTAATTTGTTTATTAAACTTGCTACTGAAACAAAGTAATCATGCAAGGGGGAGAAGGGCCCAACCAAAATTCCATATCCGAATGCCTCTGAAACAGGGAAAAGTCCACATTTGGATCTGAAATTTGCAGGCAGGTCCCATGTTTACTGGAAGGCGATGCTCCAAGAGTTGGATTGGGAACATGTGCAGGAAAATCATCAGTAACTCTTCAGTAGATTCAAAAATTCTAGAGAGGTAGAACACAGCAAAGTGTGCTTGTGTTCAGTTCGCTTTCAGATATGATGGGTTAGATTCCCCCCTGCTGCCATAAGATGGTGCAAACTACATCTTTCCATGACAGCGAGCATCACTGCACAGCCTTAGCTCAGCAGAAGCATCATGGATCCCTCCTCAGTGAATTTTCTAGCTCCTCTCAAATAAATTGCCACATCCCAGTTCTTCCTAAGCCACTCTGTTTGTGCAACTCTAGATGAAGTGTGTTTGTCAGTATCAGTGCCCTCTCTACTTACTATCAGATGCTTAAAAACAACGAGGAGTCTGGTTGCACCTTAAAGACTAACAGATTTATTTGGGCATAAACTTTTGTGGGTAAAAAACCCCACTTCTTCAGATGCATGTTTTTGATAGCTAAGTAGTCTCTACTTGTTTCCTTCTCTTCATCACTGACTTCTGATTTTTTGAGACTTGCTGCCTTTTGAGGGCAGTAAAGAGGCTGGAAATTGATAAGTAAATCTCTTACCAAAGGCTATTGTGAGGAAAAAGTTTGTCAGGTTAGAAGGTGGCCAAAGCTTTTATTTAGTTGACTTCTGTGTATGCATTTGCAATGTTCCCCATATGTAACTGAAGCATAACCCACTGGGCTAGTAGAAAAGCCTCTGTTTTCATCTGCAACATCTGTACTATATGAGTGACTCCGTGGAGAGTTGCAAATTTCACACACATTTCTTTGGCTATATTTCCATGTGGTCTCAGGTGCCAGAGAAGCTGCGTCGAGTTGCTCTTTTCCAGCTGTGTAATTTGGTGAGTAAGAGCTTTAGATCTGACCTTGCTGCTATCTTGTGACACTTTTGAATTTGCCTTTACCTTTTCAATGGCTGTTGTGTGTAATTAGAATACTGGTGTAGCATGTACAGTATGTATGAAATGTATGTTGCCTCTTTTCCAAAGCAAAAGAGCCAAAGATCAGTGTAGAAGCACATAAATATACTTGGATAAATAAAGAAGTGCAGGTGTGCCTTGCAAGAAAAAGTCTATTTGAGGTTTAAACAAGTTTCTGCTTCATGTCTAATAATGTAGTTCAAAGTACAATACCTAATGTGGAAATTCCACTTCCCACTGTTACTTACTATTATATCGCCACCTTTTACAAATTGCATTCGGGGCTGGAACACCAACATATCACACAAGTAGCAAATATCACAAATGGTGTCTACAAGGATCCAATAGAATATGTTGCTTGGTGTTTGTATTGGGAACACACAGCGCAGTGGAATGAACCAGCAGTTCCAGTTATAAGCAATGGTAACGATCAGGAGCCACACTACATAGCGGCGATCTGGAAAAGAAAACAGGAGCTGGTGACTTAATCTGTATGAAATCATCATCTTTTTATTTCTCTCTGTGTTTGGAAATAAAGCACTCATCCTCCAGGGAAAGCAGTGCAATTTGCAAATTTACCAGACGTGATCTGGAGGAATAAACACTGGCCTGGGAGGTAGGAAATCCTGAGTTCTAATCATGACTAAGCCATTCCCTTGCTGTGTAACTTTGGGTAAGGCATTTCACTTCTATGCGTTTCCCCATCTGTCAAACAGGGATGCTGATGATAGTAATACTTATTCACCTTGCTCATGGAGTGATGTGAGGATGGATGAATCTGTTCATATCAGTTCAGTGCTTTATGGGGGCAATATTAACACTATTTAGGAAAAACTTTTTTACAAGAAGGGTGGTAAAGCACTGGAATGCATTACCTAGGGAGGTGGTGGAATCTCCTTCCTTTGAGGTTTTTAAGGTCAGGCTTGACAAAGCCCTGGCTGGGATGATTTAGTTGGGGATTGGTCCTGCTTTGAGCAGGGGGTTGGATTAGATGACCTCCTGAGGTCCCTTCCAACCCTGATATTCTATGATTCTATGACTATGTAGTATGAGGTGAGATATGGGCTCCAGCCCCAGCCTGAATGTCTACACTGCAGTGAAATAGCCCCTTAGCCTGAGCCCCACAAGCCCAAGTCAGCTGGCATGGGCCAGCCGTGGGTTTTTAATTGCAGTGTAGACATACCCTGAGTCTTCAGAATGTTTTGCAGCATTTTAGACATGAGAATACCATTGAGTTTAATTGGTGATTTACAGTCCAAAACTTGTGTAACACTTCAAACTCAGGAGTAGAAGTTCACTCATTTCACTGTTTTGACTTGTGGGTTTCAGAACACTTACACTTTTCTGACAGGTTTCAGAGTAGCAGCCGTGTTAGTCTGTATTCACAAAAAGAAAAGGAGTACTTGTGGCACCTTCGAGACTAACAAATTTATTTGAACATAAGCTTTCGTGAGCTACAGCTCACTTCATCGGATGCATTCAGTGGACTTCTGAAAGATCCCAACCCTTATAGTTAAAAACAGAAACAAACCTGTTAGATGGGTTTAAGCTAGAACAGTTTCTGTGGAGGAGAGAAGATCACCCTCTGCCTTTTATAACACAGCATGGTCTGTTAAAGGGAGTCTGGTAAGAGCTAGGAGTCACACATGGAATTTATTAAAGGAAGAGGGCTGGATTCACTTATGTTTAAAATAGGGCTTTAAAATAGTTTGAATGGGAAACAGTTAGAGACTGAACAGAAAGTACCGGTGCAGGGTTTTTTAGGGGGAGTACTTATAAAACTTGTTCAGTTTGGGTAGAGTTGGATTTTCATGACAACTCCTCATTTGGCTTCCAAGACATTTCAGCACTGCAGGGGCAGTGGCCCTAGGGGATCAGGCACTGGACTGGGAATCAGGAAACCTGACTTGTATTCCTGGCTCTGCTGGTGAGCTTGGACAAGTCTCCTCACCTCTTTGTGCCTCTGTTTTCACTCTCACCATTTCTCTTTCTTGGCTACTATTGACACTGAAAGCTCTTAAGGGGGGACTGTCTCTCACTACACACTAGTGCAGTGGGGCTCTGACCTCAGATAGGGCATCCAGGTGCTATTTTAACACAAGTTTCAGAGGAACAGCCGTGTTAGTCTGTATTCGCAAAAAGAAAAGGAGTACTTGTGGCACCTTAGAGACTAACCAATTTATTTGAGCATGAGCTTTCGTGAGCTACAGCTCACTTCATCAGATGTATGAAGTGAGCTGTAGCTCACGAAAGCTCATGCTCAAATAAATTGGTTAGTCTCTAAGGTGCCACAAGTACTCCTTTTCTATTTTAACACAAGTAATACAAATTTTTATCCTGCCTTTGACACCTTCCTTTGTGTCATTTGGTTTACCTGTGTATGCATCTATACTGTCTGGTAGCTCCATCTTCTTCAGGTATTCTTTCAATGGTGGTTTCTTGAATTTACAGCACAGCATGTTGCAGTAATGATCCTCTGGCTTGGCATCCTCTTTCTTTTCTTCATCTTTTTTCTCTTCTTTTGGTGGGGGTGGGGGCAGAGGTTTCTTTTTTGATGGAGCTAAGCATGTGAATGTCACAGAAGGGAACATTTAACAATGGCATGCACATGCCTCACTGTTTTGACAGATCTTGAGAGCCCCAGCATATTACAGGCCATGCAATCGACTCTTTAGTGTTTATTGCTACAATTTTCAGTTCTGTTTTCAGTTAGAAAACAGATTGGAGAGTAAATTCAGCACTGACATAGGCAGGCACACTCCTACTAACACCACCAGGATATCTAGTGCTGGGTGTCACAGAAGGAAATGTGCTTCTACGCTATCTTTCCCTGGGCAGTCAATGCTGGTACAATTACACACACGCTGGATTTAGATGGGGTAAGGCAGGAAGCACCCAGGCACTTATTCTTGCATGACTGTTGTAAACTTGCCATGGATGGGATAGAATTGCTCTGGGACCAGTTCTGCCATACTCGAGCTGAGTTTCTTACTTCAAAAGTAGTCTCTTGATTTCAGTGGGGCAACTTGCAGAGTAAGACACAACTGAGTATGAATAGTAAATTGGCAAACTGGATCATCTATCATTTAAAAACTAAAGTAATGTAAGTGCCAGAGAGAGGGGTAGTAGGTTAACTGACACAGAAGTAGTTAAAAAAAATCTGATCACGTCTTCCTGAGCTGTCAAAGTTTATAATAGTTTAGACACTCATCCTGACACTCATCCTACCTGCTATCTTTCCCAACTTACTAGAATTCAGGAGATCAATAAATAGCTTCTGAAAAAAATGCAGAATATGAAGACTACACACTCTTCCTCCTCCTGTGCAAAGGAAGAAAACAAGCTTTTTTCTGAAGAGGAACAACATCAGTACTGTGTTTAATTATTTTCAGGTGAGATGTATTGCCTTGCGCTGCCTTATCCCATTCTAACCTACATACCTGGCATATTTAATGATGCTGGAAGATTATCGCCTGACCTTAAACTTTGTTTACTTTTACAAAAGATATCTCATCTCAGTATCACCTATGTACCTGCATGTGGCATATTGCCACATATACCTTCCCATAAGGAATGTATCTTTGATCCCTAGGAATACAGATAAAATAACCGAGATGAATCTAGAAGAGAGGTGGGCAAACTACGGCCTGCAGGCCACATCCGCCCCGCAGGACCCTCCTACCCACCCCTGAGCTCCTGGCCCTGGAAGCTCGCCCCCAGCCACTCCCCTGCTGTTCCCCCTTCCCCGCAGCCTCAGCTCACTGCACCGCCGGTGCAATGCTCTGGGCGGCAGGGTGAGCTCCTGGGGCAATGCAGCTGCAGAGCCTGGCCTGAGCCGGTGCTCTGTGCTGGGCAGTGCAGCTATAGCGCCGCCAGCCACCGGTGCTCCAGGCAGCGCGGTAAGGGGGCAGGGAGCAGGGGGGGTTGAATAGAGGGCAGGGGAGTTCGGAGGGGTGGTCAGGGGTCGGGGGGGTGGATGGGGTCGGGATGTTCAGAGGGCAGAGAACAGGGGGGTTGGATGGGGGCACTTGGGACAGGGAGAAGGGGGGGTTCCGGGAAGACAGTCAGGAATGGGGGGGGGTTGGATGGGGAGGCAGGGGGCAGTCAGGGATGGGGGTCCGGGGGTGGTCAGGGGACAGGGAGCAGGGGGTGGTGGATGGGGCAGGAGTCCTGGGGGGCAGCGTCAGGGGACAGGGAACGGGGGTGGGGGTGGGGGTTGGATGGGGCAGGAGTCCCAGGGGAGCTGTCAGGGGGCAAGAAGCAGGGGGGGGGGTCGTATAGGAGGCAGGGGCCAGGCCATGCCTGGCTGTTTGGGGAGGCACAGCTTCCCCTAACCAGCCCTCCATACAATTTCCAAAACCTGATGCAGCCCTCAGGCCAAAAAGTTTGCCCGCCCCTGATCTAGAAAGTAGTTTGAAAATGGTGATCCTGAACAGTCATAGTTGGAGACTTACCTCTATTAAAACTATTTCATGAGGTGTCTCAATGGGTTTAAATAGGCCACATTCTCAGCTGCTATAAGCTAACACAGGGGTTCTTCAAACAAGAGTATACGTACCTTTGGGGGTATGCAGAGGTCTTCAAGGGCGTACATCAACTCATTTAAATATTTGCCTAGTTTTACAACAGGCTACATAAAAAACACTAGCAAAGTCAGTATAAACTAAAATTTCATACAATATCTTGTTTATACTGTTCTACATACTATATACTGAAATGCACGTACAATATTTATATTCCAATTGATTTATTTTATAATTACACAGTAAAAATGAGAAAGTAAGCCATTTTTCAGTAACTTGCTATGACACATTTGTATTTTTAGGTCTGATTTTGTAAGCAAATCGTTTTTAAGTGAGGTGAAACTTGGGGGGTACGCAAGACAAATCAGACTCCTGAAAGGGGTACAGTAGTCTGGAAAAGTTGAGAGCCACTGCTAACTCAGCTCCACTGATTTCAGCAGAGATATGCTGATTTATCCCAAATGAAGATTTGATCCATGATTCTTGAAATATTGTCTTCCAGCATTTTAAACTCTCAGAATAGGATTTTCATCTTTAAACCACCAAATAAATAGTTATCTTTTGAGAACTAAAGCAACTTACAAGCTGTAGGACTGCCCTCAGGAGAGGACAGTAGTGGGTCAGTCAGTTTTTCTTTATAGACCGATGTCCTTGCCCTCATTTTTTTGACAATCTCTTGCAGCTGGGTTTCAGTATACTCACTTACAACCCGGCCTTGAGATGAGCTAATTAAGACAAAAGAAGAACAGTTAAGAGTACTGGAAAGGAATGAAAGAAAACTATCAGCATCAATGCTATGACATGAGTAGAATTCAAATACAAGGGCCAGATGCTGGTTTGTGCTAAGGTTCCTTTGTGCTACGGAAGTTATAATAAATAGGTAGCCAAGAAGTCTCCCAGGGTATGTCTGCACTGTAGTGGAAGCCCAGGGTCAGTGGAACTTGAGTCAGCTAACCCTGAGTTTGAGAAACCAGGGTCTGAGCATCTACACTGATTGCTGACCCAAGATGAAGAATATTTTAACCCAGGCCAAAACCTGGGGCTCCAGCATCCTCACTGGAGTACTGCAGACTTCCTACCATTGTCCCATAATGTGGCTTCTCTGGCCCTTTGTTCATGGGGCAGTGTGGGAAATCTCGACTGTCCACCCCACATGTTACAGGGGGTTTGAACAGCCCACCAACACATCCTGCAGAGCTATCCTTTTGATCTGCATGCGCCCAGCCATCAGAGACAGCAACTTGGAGGAGGCACCATTTGAAGAACTTTTCTTACTTGCACTTTCATTCCTGTTTCTGGTAATTGACAGAGCTTCCTTGAGACAGTGGTGGACATTTCAGCAGTGTTTTCTGACCCATTGTAGGCACCTGTCAGAGCTAACGATAGGATGGGTGTGAGGACATAGACCTGGTGGACTCCAACTTGCTCAGGCTGCTTGTGACACTCTGTGTAGCTGCTGATGCCCACTATGTAGACCGATGCTTCTGGAGCAGGGCCACAAGCACAGACTGGTGAGGCCACATCATCCTGCAGATGTGGATCCAGAACTGTCACATGAAGAAAGATTCATTGCTGGAGCTTTCTAAGCAGCTTGCCCCAACCCTTCTGGGTACAAAACGTGCATGAGAGCACCCATACTGGTTCTGAAGTGGGTTGCTATAACCATCTGGAAGCTGGCTATCTCAGACTGCTACAAGGCTGTTGCCACCCGCTTTGGTGTTGGGAAGGTGACTTTGAATAAAGTGGTGACAGGTTTCTGAGGCAATCTGGCATGTGGTTTACCCCAACGTGAAAGGAATAAAAGATGGCTTTGAGAGAATGGGGTTTCTCATTGCACTGGGGCCACTGATAGGGCTCATGTGTCCATCGTTTGCCCTCCTCAAGGAGCACATTAAACTGCCAAGGTTACTACTACTCCGTTATTATGCAGGCCCTCATAGGTTACAGCAGCTGATGTATGAACATCATTGTGGGCTGCACTGGTAACAATCATGATGCCAGGTTTTTGACAGTCAGGAATCTACATTCATAGACAGGTTGGGCCACTAGTCCCACCAAATGACATTTTCATAAGTGGAGTTGCTGTCCTCACTGTTATTCTGGTAGACCCCACATACCCCATTTTGCCTTGGCTTATGAAATTATATCCTGGTCTCAGAGGCTCTGGCAAAGAAGGTTTAATTACACTTTCAGCAGGTATAGAGTGGTGGTTGAATGTGCATTTGGCAGACTGACAGGCCAGTGGTGATGTCTACAGACCTGTTTGGATTCCAGTGTCATCTACGCTATCTGGATGACTGTGGCTTGCTGTGCTTTTCACAATCATTGTGAAACCAGAGGTGAGCCATTTCCCCCTGAATGGATCTGTGACTGTGATGGACTGCTGAACCAGTATGCCCAGCTTGAGCTGGATGAATCCAGGCAACAGAAGTCAAGGATACTCTGTGCTCCATTATGGACTTGCATGTGCCCATGGAAGAGGGAGAACAGTACCTTTTATGAATGTATGTGTGTATGGTGGGTTTCATTGCTTGTGGGGGAGGGTTCTATTGCAATGCATTGTACTTATAAATGATATGGCAGCTTATGGGATGGGGGTAGGGGAACTCACAATATGGGTTGATGTAAATAACTCGTTGATGTAGATAGCTGTATTGAGAATTATTTTTTGCATACAGCTTCCCAGTTGTCCCTGATCGTGTGTCACTTTTATTATTTGAAACACACATTAGATGATGTGATATAGTGATGGCAATACCATTTTTTAAAATAAAATAAAACCCTTTATTTTTAAATATTTGTTGGAAAGGTACAATATTAACCATTGCCAGACAGGCCAGCTGCCGTTAGCACACTAATGACACCAAAACCTTAAAAAAAAATCCCCCAGAACAAAGTGCATTTACAAGTGCAAAAAGTGAAACCATTAACCAGATAGAAACCCCCGACTGTTATGAATCCCCTGGCCCCCATTCCTCTTGTCCTGCCTTCCACGTTTGCCACCCGCTTGGGGCCAGGGAAGGGCAGTGAAGGTGTCCAGAGGGGAAGGGTGCAGCCTGGAGGACTACATGGGGGCACATTTGCCCTGTGCAGCCACTGACAGGGCCTGGTTGCATGGGCCACCCCGTCATAGAGTTGTCCAAGCTGTTCCAGGACTGCTGGACAGGGTATTGCACAGGGGATGCTGGCCATTAGAGATAGCATCCACCCAAACAGTTCCTTCTGCTCAGCTCTATCTCCCTCCCTTAACCACTGTTTCTGTTCCAGGAACTGCAATGCAAGTGTCTGCTCCCACTGTGAAGCCAGCCTGAGCCTTTCCTTTTGCCTTTCAGAATGTTTTTCCTCTTGCCGAAAGTCCCTCTGTCTTATGGACTGGACCTGTTTGTTGATCCTGTCCAGAATGTCCATCAGAAATCAACATGGAAATGCTTTCTCTTGGAATGATCCGGGAAGGTTTGGTGTTCCAGGCTTCCACTCCAGTAGAGGTTGATGGGCCTGGAATAGGACAAGACACGATGAATTATTGTCTCAAGTTGATCAGTGCAGGAGCTCAGAAAAAAAAATCTGGTTTGGAATTTCAAGGACTTAAAATGTTACTTTTTAATACTGAACTACAATATCTTGAGAGAGGGATGCCTCAGACCACAGACTCCCTGGACACAGCCTGGTTAATAGCAGTGAAAGAGGTGCAGAGAACATTGTAAGTTTAAAAAAAAATCATAACTGCTTTTTTTTCTAAAAATTGCAGACCAAAGTGGCTTTGGGGGAGATCAGTGGCTGAGACATGCTACATAAACCTTCTCTGACGTTTCAGGCATTCCACATTTTGGAGGACATAATGGATTTTGTGGTGCCTCATTGACAGAGAGGTGTTATTCCAAGCTGCAAGTGGGAAACCAGCTGTGCATGCCCTTGAAGCATTTAAGCGGATGGTGACCAAACAGCACATTTACAAATGGAGTGTGCCTGTCAGCTACTGAGATGGACCTGAAAAATATGCCCTGCCCCAAAATATGGCTACCTATCTGGAGTTTCTGTTAAGGGAAAGTCTGCAGCTGTCAGCACCCAGGATTGGGTCACAATTCATGAAGGAATCAACAATATTAATAGATTCATAGACACTAAGGTCAGAAGGGACCATTATGATCATCTAGTCTGATCTCCTGCACAACGCAGGCCACAGAATCTCACCCACCCACTCCTGCGAAAAACCTCTCACCTATGTCTGGGCTATTGAAGTCCTCAGATTGTGGTTTAAAGACTTCAGGATGTTGCGCTAATATCCACCTGGCTTAGTGCCTCCCCACAGCTTCCGATACAGCCTGTTATGACTGCATGCAAACACACAGAACTCCACTGCCATCCCTCTTCCCTGTCCCTGGTCTCACCCTCACCATTCCCTGGCATATTTTTGGACTGAATTCAAAACCCCAGTCATATTTGGGATGCATGATGTCATCACCCATGGACTGCATGCACTGCATTTAACAGAAATGAACTACGTTTGAAAAAGGGTTACATTTCCACCTTCTCTCGCCAGCCCCACCACAATTCACTGGTTTCATTTGGCTCATTACACAGTTGAGTTGGTATGGAGTGGTGTATGTACAGGGAAGGCAAAGTAAGGTTCTTGTTTTTAACAAACTGGATGTTGTACCAAAAAATGTGCACCTTTCCAGAAAAAAAAATTCTTCAAAATGCTTCTTTACTGTTTGTGTTTCACAGTCTCCATTCTGAATTACACATGGTGGGGGTGAAGGGACACCAAAGCATTGGCATGCCATCCAGATACATGCTGCTACCCAGCGTTTGTAATAACTTTTGCATTGGTTCATAGAATGCATTTCTATGCTAAAAAACACAAAAATTGGGCCAGAAACTTACCAAGCTCTGGGGTGCTTCTGTCTCCTCCATCTCCCCTGCAAGTTCAGTGCCAGCTTCTTCATTATTTGCTGGTATGCATGGTCATTCCTGGTACTCTTCCTGAAATTAACTGTTTTGCTGGTTAGGCACCAGAGACTAACCAAAATCTGGCTGTGCTCCTATGACCCTTAGGCAGGGAGCTTTATAAAGGACTACTTCTGGTTGGTGGCCACTGCAAATGCAGAACGTTCTCTGAAAGTGTGTTTACAGCTCAGCAGTCAGAATAAAATTGAAGGGTTAAATGACAAGCAGCTGTGCTAAAACCAGGGGGTTTGATTCTGTTTCCTGGAAGTTGACTGATGATTTATGGGATAAAGAGGACAAAAAACACTGGCCCATGGGATTGTGGAATAGTGAAGACAGATTCCCAGGTTCCAAGTCTGGCATGGCTGCGTGCACACTGCAAAACAATACAGCTTGAACCCTGAGTCCTGGCTGGTCTCAGGCTTGGACCCTCCATTCCTGTAGGGTCTTGCAACCTTGGGTCTGAGCCCAAGTCCAAGAGATTTGTGTGTAGACAGATGTGGGGTTAAGGCTTGAGCCAGGGCTTTCATTGCAGTGTAGACATGTCCCCATTGTTCTTAAAGCCCTCATAGCTGACTCTGTGCAAACCCCCAACATCAAGAGTAGGAAAAGAATATTTCAAAGAGTTGGGGTCAGAATATAATATGATCTGGCTCATGTTGCTTCTATAATATCCCCGAGGATATCAAACTCCTTTGAGGGAGGGGAAGTAACGTGGGAGAAGTGAGGGGTTTAGAAGGAAAAAAAATCATATGTGTCACACATTTTGATAAAATAT